AGGCGTGAGCCACCACCGCCCGGCCCTTTTAGCTATTCTTGAGGGCACAATAACTTTACTCTTGGGCTGTTTTGCTGTTCCCCCTTCCACCTCTCAAAGTAAGCCTTGGTGGACATTGTGAGACAAACATGTTTGGGTCTGGAATGGGTGTGAGAAGCAACCCTGCTTCCAGAACCAGGTTCTCAATGAGCTCAAGCAAGACATGACAGCTTACCAATACATTATGCATTACAGGATGTTTGCACAAGGTAGTCTGTTCATGAAGACTATATTCTGTTTATAGAAAGACTTTAAATCACTCATACCTATGAATCAAAATCTACCCTTAAAGGTTAAGGAGATTGCTCAGATGGTAAAGTGCCTGTCACTGATGCATGGATACCCAGCACTTACATAAAAACGATGGGCATGGTGCTGGAGAAATGGCTCAGTGGTTAAGAGCACTGACTGCTCTGGCTGTTGGTGGCTCACACCTTTAATCCCAGCACTGGGGAGACAGAGGACAACCTGCTCTACAGACCGAGTTCCAGGACAACCTCCAAATCAATACAGAGAAACCCTGTCCCGAAAAAACAAAAAACAAAACAAACAAAAAGAGCACTGACTGCTCTTCAGAGGATCTGGATTTGGGTCCCAGCACCCATAAAGTGGCTCAAACCATCTGTAACTCTAGTTAGGGGATCTGCTACTCTGGTCTCCACTGGCACTGTTTACATGTGGTACACAGATGTACACATAGGCAAAATATCTATATACATAAAATAAATACATTTTTATTTTTATATTTTTTCAGTTTTTGGAGACAGGGTTTCTTTGTGTAATAGCACTAGCTGTCCTGGCACTCACCATGTAGACTAGGCTGGCCTTGAATTCAGAGGTTTGCTTGCCTCTGCCTCCGGAGTGCTGGGATTAAAGGCTTGCACCACCACTGCTGGCTAGGATGATTTTCTTGAATGATTCAGGCCAGCCAAGATAGCTTATGGGGCAAAGATGCTTGCTATCAACTCTTACAACCTGAGTTCAGTCCCTGGACCCACATGGTGGAAGGAGAGAACCAACTCCTGAAAGTTGTCTTCTGACCTTTCTTTACACATGCACACACAGCCCTGCTCTCTTCTTGTTTGCTCTCCTGGCACCAATGGCACTGTGTTGATCAGACTTGGAAAGAGGTAGCTTATAGGTGTGGATAACATTTGTCTTATAGGCCATCCCCTGCCTGTGGTCAGCGAACTCACTCTGTAGACCAGATTGACTTAGAACTCACAAGAGATTCACCTGCCTCTGCCTCAGAGTTGCTGGGGTTGAAGGTGTGCCACCTGCACCTGCACCATCACATTTGGCTAAACCACCATACCTTTAATTGTTCCTTGGCAGCAACATAGTTATTTCCTCCCTCTTTTCTTCCTGCCCTCCTTTCGTACAATGTATCACTTTGTAGCCCAGGTTTGTTTGAAATTATTTGTAGGCCATCCTTCTGCTTTAGCCTCCCATTTTGGGGAAGATTCTTGCTGGAATTATTTTTCCTAATGCTAAAAGTTATTAGTTAATAAGTATAATTTCATAGTCACCCTCCTCCCATTTTATTCTAATTACAGTTGTTTAGGAAGAACCAATGTTTTTTTGTTTGTTTGTTTGTGTTTTTTGGGTCAGGGTTTCTCTGTGTAGTCCTGGCTGCTCACTCTGTAGATCAGGCTGGCCTCGTGCTCACAGAGATTCACCTGCCTCTGCCTCCAGAGTGCTGCGATTAAAGGTGTGTGCCACTATGCCTGATGAACTAAGACTTCTTAATAAAGAAACATAAAATGAAAAGAACCTTTTCTTTTGCCATTTGAAGAAAAGGATGTTTGTTAGCAAGAAAAGTAGCCAATATGGCTGGAAGAGTAATTGGAATGGCAGAATGTTATTTCTCCTTCATAAATATTTGGAATTTTCTGTCATCTGGAACTACACATTCAAAAGACCTGATAAAAAGACAGAAATTTCAAACCCAGATAAACCTAGATAATTTGTTCTATATTATATTTTTCCAAGGATGACTTGTTTGAAAGCATGGAATCTCAGACAGGTGATGTGTTGTAATAAGTTGAATCAGAGGCCTCTGTCTTTAACAATAATTATGACTTTGCATTTTATAAGTCACTTGACTATTTCTCAGTCAAAGTAGAATAGAGAACATTAGATAGTTGGCTAACAAAAGATAATTTCTATCCTTTATATCAATATGTTAAATATTTACATAAAATAAACTTATATTTCAGTTTATATACGGTTATAACATTTTGTAATAATTGTCATATATTTTATATAATATTTATGCTATAATCTTTATAGTAAGTATAAATTTTAACTAGTACAATATTTTAGAGAAGAATTGAGTATTTCATTTCTTCATGGAAACGTTTCTGGAGCAGTTGAAAGAAAAAAAAGTTTTATTTATTTTTGAGACAGGGTCTCACTATATAGCTCTGGTTGACCTGGAACTCTTATGTAGACCAGGCTGTCCTTGAACTCAGAGATCCTCCTGCCTCTGCTTTCTAAGTACTGGGATTAAAATTGTGCCATCATGTTTGTCTCTAGGTGGATTTTTTTTTTTTTTGAGACAGGGTTTCTCTGTATTGTTTTGGAGCCTGTCCTGGAACTCGCTCTGTAGACCAGGCTGGTCTCGAACTCACAGAGATCCGACTGCCTCTGCCTCCCGAGTGCTAAGATTAAAGGCATGCCCCACCAACACCCGGCTAGATGGAATTTTTATGATGTAGTGAGTTAAATTGCGTCAGATTGTTTTCTGGATGAGGTAGGATATGAGCAAATAAATAAAATTACACTCTGAGAAGTGGTAACTGATACAAATGACTTTAACTGAGTTTGAGTTAGCCACACTCCTTGGGCCCAGTGTCTTGTGTGTCCATGTCTTCAAGCATCAGTAAAGTTGTTTAGTTATCTTCTTTACTCCTGTCAGTGTTAGAGGCCTCCCCTATTGAATATGTCTGGTCACAGATCTGTAGTTTAGTGGGAGCCTGCTACTATTCAGGCAGTCAGAACTGCCCTTTGGACTAATGAGCTGAATAGTGAAGAAATCTGAATTTCCTCATAATGCTGTTCTCTCTATTCTGAAACTCACAGGAGACCAGTGAGTCTGTGGCAAAAGAAGGCAGCCACACTAGGAAGAATAAGGTTCTAATGAGTTTGCCATTTTCTTGGTGCTAGGGATGCTGTAGTGAACAACAAATGGTCTGCTCTTGAGAATTTCTGCAAATTTTCTAGAAATGCATAGTAGCTGGTGAGAGAGATCCCATTTTTATTAAAGTTTAGGAAGTCCCTCAGGAGCCCACTGTTGATAATGTTAGATGGCTGTCTGGATCTTATGCAGATGCAGCATTCTTAAGAATGTACATTTCATTTCTTTTATAAAAAGATTTATTTATTTATTTTTCTTTCTTTTTTTTCTTCCTTTTTTTAAATTTAAGTTAGAAACAAGCTTACTTCACATGTCAATCCCAGCTCCCTCCCAAGATTTATTTATTATATATATAGTGTTCTGCCTGCATGTATGTCTACAGGCCAGAAGAGGACATTAGATCTCATTATAGATAGTTGTGAGCCACTATGTGGTTGCTGGGAATTGAACTCAGGACCTCTGGAAGAGCAGCCAGTGCTCTTAACCATCTCTCCAGCCTGTTATTTTTATTTTAAAAAATATTTTATTTTTATGGGCATTATTGTTTTGCCTGCATGTATGTCTGTGTAATGGTGCTGGATTCCTGGAACTGAAGATACAGACAGTTGTGAGCTGTCATATAGGTGCTGGGAATTGAACCTGGGTCCTATGGAAGAACAGCCAGTGCCCTGAGTCATCTCTCCAGCGCAAGAATATACATTTCTTGAGTGTGTAATCCAGTAATCCCAGAACACAGGAGGCAAGAGACAGAAGGATTGCTGCAAATTTGAGGTCATTCTGATCTATATGTCAAGTTCCAGGCCAGTCAGAATCCCCAAACCAAGCAAAAGAGTGCATGTGTCAACACTGATTTTTATTTCATTTATTTATCTATTTATCTTGTTTTTTTTCTTTTGTTGTTTTTTTTTTTTTTTTTGAGACAAGGTTTTTGTGTGTAGTCCCGGCTGTCCTAGAACTCCCTCTGTAGACCAGATCTCAAAGAGATCCGCCTGCCTCTGTCTTCCAAGTGCTGGGATTAAAGGCGTGCGCCACCACTGCCTGGCTGGAATTGACATTTATTGGTAGATAATGAAGGCAGAAAGTTGGAAACTAAGAAATGTTTAAATGAAAGAACCAGAATTAGACAAAAGGCAAGCAGAGAGAGAGAGAGAGAGAGAGAGAGAGAGAGAGACAGAGAGACAGAGAGACAGAGAGACAAAAAAAAAAAAACTGCAGGTGCCAGCAGTTCTAGCACTTAGGAGGTGGGAGAACTACTGGAGGACTGCCCAGGAGTTCCAGACTAAATTGGACAATGTAGTAAGTAGGTCTCCTCTAATACCAATGAGAAAAATTGAACAGAATTTTGATGCAAAATAAGAAGCAGAATTAGGGATTGCTGTTTATCCTGCTGTGTACAAACAGTGTTGACTTTATTGATCATTACTTTAAAGCCTGTTAGGATGTTTTTTTTTTTTTTTTTGAGACAGGGTTTCTCTGTATTGTTTTGGAGGCTGTCCTGGAACTCACCCTGTGGACCAGCCCGTCCTCGAACTCACAGAGATCCACCTGCCTCTGCCTCCCGAGTGCTGGGATTAAAGCCTGGCTAGGATGTAATTTTGTAAAAGGAGTACACTTGCCTAGCATTTGAGAGGCCCAGTGTTTTATCTCAACACACACAAACTCCATATGCACAAGAAGATATATACTTGTTGAAGACATAAAAGAAGGTATCTCATTTGTCAATATTTAAGATCAATTTCAGTTGATATCTGTAAATCTAGAACTTGCCAATTTTTACCACAAAAGTAACTTTATTTTTTTTTCATGAAAATATTTCCTTTTATTGTATCTTAGGAATTCTTGCTCATGTCAATAGACTGTCTGACATCTGCCACTGCCTCAGGCACACGAACAGTCATATTGTCCATAGCTTTGGTCAGACAGACTTGGCAGCCCAACCGTGACCTGTCTGTTAGTCCATAAGCCAGGTCAAGCATGTCATTCTCCTCATCAGTGATGGCATCTAGCTTCTCATATATATGATCCTCAAAGATAAGGTGACAGGTAGAGCAAGCCAAAGTTCCCTCACAAACACCAAAACCATCAATATCTAGATTATTTTCAACCACAACATCTAGCAGAGAGTCACCGATTTTTCCCTTGGTCGTTAGTGTTTCGCCATCACGGTTTTTGAAGTGGACTGTTATTTTATCTTCTGAGCTGCTCCACGCGCGTGCAGACACGCTCAGCGGCCGCCCCCGTCCCGCCTCTGCGAGCACGCCCGGACTCGGGGTCCACTGAGGGACCGCAGTTCCCGCGCGGAGCCCACAGACCAGCAGCCAGCGGCTGTCCAGGACACGGAAAGCGATGGAGGCACAGGCAGCGCGCAGGAGTCGGGCGCCCGGAGCGGCCGCCATAGCCCGGTCGGAAGGTTCTGGCGCCTGCGATGTCCTGCGCAGTCCAGAGGGTGTGAACCTCACGTCCGGGTTCGAATGGACTACAGTCCCGCGAGCACCCTCCCTGTCCTATAACCCGGGACCGCATCCCGCCCCGCCCCTCCAAAAGTAACTTTAAATTGTACTTATTTGGCAGTTTTTAGTAGCATAACTTTTATTTTAGAAAATATGGAAGGTCAGGTATGGTGACACATACACACCTTTAATCCCAAGAATGAGAAGTCAGAGTCAGGGTGATTTCTGAGCCCAAGGCCAACCTGGTCTACATAGTGAGTTCCAGGGCAGCCAGCGCTACATAGTGAGACCCTATCCCAAAATTTAATTAGTTAATTAATTCAAGTTTATTCTCAGTTATATATACATTGTGAGCTCTATATATACATTGTGAGCTCAAGGCTAGCCTAAGTTACATGAAACTCTGGCTCAAAACAAGCAATGCTTCCATTTTAAAAGAGACTAAAGCAACATGACAGCCAATTTTTTTTTTCATTTTCTGTAAAGGATAGTGGTGAATAAAGTCAATAGATTGGATAGTGGAACTTTATCTACATAGAAGAATGAACTTACCTTTAGGAAATGCACACTAAAATACAATTATTGGGGTTGGAGAGACGGTTCAGGGGTTAAGAGCACTGGCTACTCTTTCAGAGGTCCTGAGTTCAATTCCTAGCATCCACATGATGGCTCATGTATAATGGGATCTGATGCCCTCTTCTGCAGGCATGTATGCAGACAGAATACTTATAAACGCGCCCTGCCCTGACACGCGCGTCCCCCGGCCCCCCCCCCTCAGGAAGCAGAGGCAGTCAGATCTCTATGAGTTTGAGGCCAGCCTGGTCTACAGAGCGAGTTCCAGGACAGCCTCCAAAACAATACAGAGAAACCCTGTCTCGGGACACCAAAAAGATAAATAAATAAATGCCCCACCCAAAAAAGATGCAGTTATTCTCAAATAGTCCTGTGTCTGTGTCTGTTTCTAGCCTTTTTTTTTTTTTTTTTTTTTTTTTTTTTTGGTTTTTTCGAGACAAGGTTTCTCTGTGGCTTTGGAGGCTGTCCTGGAACTCGCTTGGTAGTCCAGGCTGGTCTCGAACTTACAGAGATCCGCCTGCCTCTGCCTCCCGAGTGCTGGGATTAAAGGCGTACGCCACCAATGCCCGGCTGCCATTTATTAGTTGGTAAGACTGTATGATGTTGTAGATACAGATACTGCTAGAGTAAGAGTGAGACAGATAAAGGATAATGCACACACAAATATTCTAAAAATGTTGTATGTTATGGGGGAATTTGGATTAAGGATAGACATAGCTTCAGCTTGGTGTTTTATGCCTGTAGTTTAAGCACTTGAAAAGCTGAGGTAGGTAGAATGCTGTGAGTTTGAAACTGCCTAGTTTACACTTTGAGTTCCTAGACTGTACAGTGAGGCCCTGTCTCAAGGTAGTTTGGGGGAAGCAAGCCTGTGAGATGGCTCAGTGATTAAAAGTACCTGCCATCAGTTTAAAGGCCTGAGTTCCATCCTTGGGACCCACATGGTAGAAATAGAGAAACAACTCTTACAAGTTACCCTCTGATCTTCATTCCCAGGCCTCAGCTCAGGAGTGCCCATACACAGATGCACAAAGACACAGATTTAAATAAATTTTGAAAAGAAATTAGATATAAACCTTTGTAGGCAATATAATTTCTGTAAGTCTGAACTTTTCTGGAATTAAGTTTGAAAAGGTAAACAAAACAAAAGTCCAGGTGGCACATGCCTTGAATCTTAGCCCTTGGGAGGCAGAGGAGTTCCAACCTGGCCTGGGCTACAGAGCAAGTTCGAGGACAGCCAGCATGGTTACATAGAGAAACCCTATCTCAAAAAACCAGAAAATCTGGGTTGGTGACACGTAGACTAGAAAGGCAGAGACAGGGCTGGAGAGATGGCTCAGTGATTAAGAGCACTGGCTGCTCTTCCAGAGGACCGGGGTTCAACTCCCAGGCCCCACATGGCAGCTCACAATTGTAACTCCAAAACCTGACACTCTCACACAGGCATACATACAGGCAAAACATCAAGGCACATAAAATAAAAATCAATTATTAAAAGAAGAAAGGCAGAAACAGGAGACCAATCTGGTCTTACATAGCAGGTTCCAGGGCAGCCAGGGCTACATAGAGAAATTTGTTTCAAAACACACATGTAAACTACACATATACACCCAAAACAAGCAGAGAGAGAGAGAGAGAAAGTTGAATTGAGTGGGTGTTACTCTAATTAGTCACCAACGAACCAGTGACTATTTTAATTAAATTGTACTATTGACTTGTGAATACTGCATGCTGACACTAGGTTACCATTTCTTTCTGTGTTCTTTTTTGGGGGGGGGGGTTCAGGGACAAGGTTTCTCTGTGGCTTTGGAGGCTGTCCTGGAACTCACTCTGTAGACCAGGCTGGCCTCGAACTCACACAGATCCGCCTGCCTCTGCCTCCGGAGTGCTGGGATTAAAGGCATGCGCCACCAATGCCCGGCTTCTTTCTGTATTCTTAGCAGCTTTTAAAATTGGCAAAAGGGAACTTGACCATCAGGAGACAAGCTATATTCTCTTGGGTCCACAGCTCATCTTTTAGTGAGATATTAAGGAAATCACTGTCTCTGAGTCACATGTTTCATGTCTGAAAACTGGAGAGCTGTATAAGCTAGTATTATTACTTAGGTTCTGGAAGTTTTGTGATGTTGACTCTAATTGGTTTTGGGCCATATGAAAAAGGCCCAAGCCATTTTTGACACAAGACAATCAAAAAGTTTGTAGAGGGGCTAGAGAGATGCCTCAGTAGTTAGGAGTGCTTCTTCCAGAGGACCCAGAATTATTTTTCAAGCACCCACATGGCAGCTCACAACCACTTGTTTTAGGAAATCCTATACTACCTTCTGAACTCTAAAGGTAGCCACACATGTCCATATACCCACACACATATATACATACATGTACACATATATACTTAAAATTGTCTATAGAAACTAGAGCTAGAAGCCACCTGTTAAACCATATAAATTTTTCCTCAACTTGCACAAATTCTCCATGCTGTTTGGACCAGTGCATTCTCCTGTGTGTTGAAGCCATTCATCATTTTCCAGGATCTGACTTGTGCTTTCAGTTCACTCTTTTTTTTTAGTCACTTAGGGAGGGACTGAGGTTGTTCTTAACTCATAAAAATTACCGTCTTTCATATTTGGACTTTTTTTTGAAATTGTACTTTGCCACTGTGGCAGAGACTAACAGGTGGGTGTCTGTTTTCCTCGGGGAGTTTGGACAGACTTGGTTGGTAAGAATTTAGTTTTGACTGTAGTAATAATATGATCAGAAAAGTTACTGCAATAGAGAAGTCAAATTTCAGGATAAAGATTGAGACTTTAACTTCCCTTTATTAAAAGCAATACTAGGACAGAAAATTTTGGTTTTTAACCTTGTTACCAACCCTTAGAATGCATAACAAAAAAGGAAGGAATGTACACATGTAGGAATATAGGCACTCTGATACCCTTCTGTTGGCGAGGATGTAAATTGATGTATTCTTTTGTGAACATAATTAACAATGTCAGGTAAATACAAAAGAGCCCATATGCTAACTTAAATTTTACTGCAAGGAATTCATGCTGAAGAATATGAATTACAACATTATTCATAAAGGTGAAAATTTAGAAATGATCTAAATGTTCATTTGGGAACATTAAGCAGTTTATATTATGGAATCGGTTCTAAGAAGGTAATGAAGTAAGGTGTTTTTTTTTTTCTCTTCATCTTATTCACCCGAGTTGGAGGCCATCAATGTAGAATCAACCATTTTTTTTTAAAAATAAAATTTTTTAAAAATTTAGGTTAGAAACAATCTTACCCTCAGTAAGGTGTTTTCTGTTTCTTCTTTCCTCAAACCTGACATTCTATTTCCTCAGTCTCCCCAAGTAGCTGGAATTACAGGCAAGTACTGATACACCTGAGCTGCAGGAGGCTTTTGTGATGCTGAGAAATGGGCTTATGATTGCCTTTTCCCTAAACAACTAATAAACTCCCTATGTGGTTACAGGATTTGAGTTCCTGTAGAACCAACATAGTTTATTAAAGTAATGATTTTTCTTCTTTTAACAGCTAGAGTTGGGAAGACATCACTGATTATGTCTCTGGTCAGTGAAGAATTTCCAGAAGAGGTAAATATTAAATTTGTTATGTAATATTTTTTCTTGTTTGTTTTAATAAAAAAAGTGATATGTCAATGCCCCCTTCAACAGTCAGGACTTTTTTTTGAGGGGGGAGGGTATGATTATTTTGTCTGCATGTGTGCCTGCCAGAAGAGGGCACGAGATCTCATTATGGATGGGTTGTGAGCCACCTGAACTCAAGACCTCAAGAGCAGCCAGTGTTCTTAACCTCTGAGCCATCTCTCTAGTCCCCAAAAGTCAGGACTTTTAAAAAATTATATTTGTGAGCACAGTGGTAATGGTGTACACCTTTAATCCTAGCACTTGGGAGGCAGAGGCAGGCAGATCTGTGTGAGTTCGAGATCGGCCTGGTCTACAAGAGCTAGTTCCAGGACAGTCTCCAAAGCTACACAGAGAAACCTGTCTGGAAAAACAAAAAGCAAAACAAACAAATAAAAAAACCCAAAAAACTGTATCACCTTAAGAAAGATCCTAAGTTCTCATTTTGTGCCTTTGAGTTTGTCATTAAAATTTTTTCTTTTGCAGTGTGTGTGTCTATACGCATACATGTATGCCACAGCATAGCATGGCTGGCTGTCAGAGGACAGCTTGTTAGGAGTCAGTTCTCTCCTTCTTCCACAGGAGTCCTAAGGATTGATTTTAGATTGTCAGTCTTGTTGACAAGTGACTGAGCTGCCTTCCAGCCAATGGCCTTGCCAGTTGTCATCTCTTTGTCTTGGTTGTTTTTTATTTTATTTTATTTTTATTATTATTTTTTTGAGACAGTGTTTCTCTGTGTAGCTTTGGAACCTGTCCTGTCACTCACTCTGTAGA